ACTGTTAAGTTAATAACTACGCAAGGTAAAAGTCCAGAGATTTCTTGGGATTATCAAAATGAGTAAGTGGGGAGAACACAGCTGGGAAATTGCATTTGTGCCTGAATGCCTCATCCATTTAATTTTGGATACAATTTTTAAAGTACCTAAATAAAGCAAAAGCCCAAATTTTTAAGGGGACTGATGTTCCCAGCTCATTAATTTCAATGGGATTTAGTTACTTGACTTCCTTACCTAAAGGCTGGAGTCCCTATATCTGATTTCGCATTTGATGTATGCTTCTAAGAGCCTAGATTCCATTAATTTTTAGTAATATTCAGACACATAAGTCCTTGAGTCACTACTGAAAATCAGAATTGGGGATTATTCACAAGTGGGCTAATCTTCCTTGGCTCCCTCTGTAGTCCCAAGGGAGATGGGCTCGTCTTGTGGGATGAGCAGGATCATGCTGGGCGCTGAGACAGCCCTTGCAGGAGCCCACTGACTAGGGAATGGGAGAAGTCCGGTCTTCCAGTCTGGAGCGTCCCTGTGCGCACCTCCTGTGGGCTCCTGATGCCAGGCTGCCATGCTTTTCCTGGTGCCTCCTGGCCTGACAGAGTAGCTTGCTGCTCTGCGTCTGTCACACAGTGTTAAAAACATTTTCCTTTCCATTATTAAAGGGACAAAGGTTGAAATTTCCAGCTTTTACATGCTGTGTCAAAATAGGGTTTCCCTAGGATACAGGGTTTTCCCTGGGTTCCAAATAGGGTTTCCCTGGGAGATCTACTGCCTGTTGAGGCTTCCCTGGTGTCTTAAACTTATCCCCTGCCCCAGATCATGCTGAAGAGCAGAATTCAGCCACCAGTACCGCATGAGTTTGAATGACTACTGACCTTCCCAGCTGCATCGCCCTTCCAGCAGCAAAATGGCACCTTGTTCTAAATCTTGGTGGGCCTTGGAGAATTTGGTTCCCTGGGCCTGTGTTCCTTCTGTCCCGGGCAGGGTAACCCCGTTTGACTAACTCTCTCCATGGTAAGCAGAGTGTTTACTGGCTTGTATCTGTCTCAGCTTTGACACTCTAACAAAAGGTTAAAAATTATGAATGCATCCCTTTATTTCTGCTCCACAGTGCCTCTCTTTTTTCTGTGTAAACCCTTCACTTGCCTCTTGCCCAGCCTTTAGAAATGATGATCAAATGCGAACTTTCAGGGTTTATTTATAGCATAGCCTTTATGGAAAGAGAGAAAAGAAATTATTAAAAAGCAATTTTACAAAATATTTTGTTTTAAGAGAGAATTCATTGTGTTTAAATCACTGTATTCATTGTACTGTCTAGACTGGCAAACGAAGATAGAGCGTCATTCAAATTAAGACTGTGAAATTCTTGGTGGCTGGAATTATGGATTTGGATGTCAACCCTCAAACAAACTATTTCTGAACAGCAGTATTATCACTTTGCTATATTTAAGGCTTTGTTGGAGACAGAACAGTGCACAAGGTTGATCTGATTCAGTAATGCGATTCTAATGTTCCTTTGTTTCCGATTTCATTATAAATTCATATTTTCAATGTTCTGTTCCTCTTTGTCCCCAGAAAATTGTTGAAAAGACTCTCCTCTGGGAGTAAAGTTTTTGTTCAAACTAACAATGACCAAACTGACTTTAAAAAACAAAAAAACACACAACCGAAATGCAAATTAGGAGAGGGAATTCATTTAGGATATTTTGAGCGACCTAGAATGAGTGAGTTGTTGAAAATTGCTGGCTGTGTATTTTTTTAACATGTTATTCCACATTACTGTGGTAGTTGCTGTGAGACCTTAATGCTGTGGATTCTCAAAGACCTGTGTATTTTCAGTAGATTTAAAAATACAAAAGTATTTTACCTGATAAACTGGAAAGACTTCCATCTTCCTCCTTAGCCAAACGTGGATAGATGGGTGAACCAGCAGACGATAAGCAGCAGCCAGGCCCCGTTCCCTAGTTTAGATCAGGGCCTGAAGGACTAGTTTTCCTTTAGGGACGTCTCTAGCCTGTCCTGCTGCCAGCCCCATCATAGAATCATAGAATTACAGAATCATAGAATCATTTAGGTTGGAAAAGACCCTTAAGATCATCGAGTCCAACCATAAACTCGGAGCAGCGGCTCCCTCCCCCGCTGCCCGTCAGAGGATGGGGCCTCTGTGCCAGGGGTTTCAGGTTTGGGGGGACCTCACAGGGAGCGTTAGGAGGCTTTCATCAGCCCTGTGGAGACTCGGCTTCACCCTTTGATGACCACCGCTGCGAAGTGCTTGTTCTGAAGGCTGGAGTGTGGCAGGTGCCCCGTGTGGTGTTGGGCCCCAGCAGGGTGGCGGAGGCACAGGAGGGGAGCGAGGGGACGGGAGGGAGGGAGCCCAAGCCGGGGCCGGGGCTGCAGCGGCCGGTGGGACAGCCATGCTGACCAAGGCTGCCCTCACACCTTCCACGCCTGGTGGAGTCGGTGCTGGTGTCTGATCTCTCTTGAACCAGCCTGAGGAGACCGGTAGTTAGACGAGTAACAGTGTAAAAATAAAACCTGTCTGAAGATGTGTTTATCTCAGAAGGCTGGCTTATTTCCCAAAGAAGCAGTAATGCATTTTTCAGCACTGGAAGTCGTTAAGAGGCCCCAGAGTAAAGCAGAACATGAGTGTGTAGAATACTTACGGCAGAAGCCGAGCACGTCCTGGGAACGGCGCTGTCTGTGTCCTGTTCTCTTAACGCTGCCCAGAACGGGGCAGCAGCAGGCAGACCCTGTGTCTGCACGGAGGGGGTGGGTGGCAAAGTTTAGCCCTCCCTTTCATCTTTGTTACACCTGAGAAAAAAGTGGATTTGTCTGACACATTTTGACGCTTTAGATGTCTTGGGTTTATTTTCGTGCAGTATCTCCAAGGCAATTCAAAAAGAGATGTAAAGCAGGGAGCAGGGAGCAGAAAACAAGGCAGCTCTTTCCATTAGTGAGAGTGCTTCGAGGGGCTTTGTCTCTGCCTCACGTTTTCTGTAAGACACGAAAAGCAGTATTGATTGTAACAGAGGGAATTGTCTTTTACTTTGAGGGGTTTTTTTCTGTGTGTTCATTCATTTTTTTGGGTAGCCTCTATATCCAGCTGGCCATGTAAGGGAATTGTAAACAGGAACAATGCTTGAGCAAGTATCACCTATTAAAGAACAGGGAATAAATGCCCGTTTCTCTTACTGGGAAAGATACCAACCTTTCCATGCCAGTATTTTAATCTGGCTGGTGTGTGGAGTCTCTGTGCCAGCAGGCTCACATGTCCCAGAGAAAAGAACACGCTATCTCACTGGAAGTGTTATTTCAAGGGTGTTTCTTGGGGAATCAAAGTCCAATCAACTTCTGCACGTATAGGCATATGAGTGTACAGAAACACTCCCTGCTATTTTATCAGAAGCACTAACAGAGTAAATCCTGACTGCACCATCACTGGCAGTGCTTTTTGCTTTGGTAGAGCCACAATTTCATCCAGTATTAACCACCTGAAGTTGACAAATGTAGAAAGCAGGTGTTCCACATTCTACTAGCACATTTGGACCGGCAGTATAAAAGGACGTGTTGATGCTGAAGGATGAAGCAAACACGCCCAGAACATGCCAGGTAATACTGCAGGTCCAGCCAGCCAGGCAGGGCTGGGGACCGCCTGCTGCTCTGGCACACGGGTGGCCTCCCAGGCACTTTGTGCCTAGCTGAGCAAACACTGTTGTGCATGGGAGAAGGAGTACCTGCTGGCTTCACGGGCAGCCCACTTACATCCCAGCATTTAGGTCACGATCATTATTTCTTTAACACGGGGGAAGTGGGAAACCAGAAGATGTAAGGTCTGCCAGTCATCTTACTTATCCTCAGAGCCTCCCTGCCTGTCCTGGCCGGTGAAACTGTGCTTACATTCCTCATCTACGTTGTAAAGTTCTGGGAGATTCTCAGCTGTAAAATGCTAGATTAGTGGGAAGCAAAGATTTTACTACAGCAGACATTACAGACTATAAAATCATCCAACCCTTTTAAAAATCTAGCCATAGTATTTGACTAGATGGCTTCCAGCGGCAGCACAGGCTGACTGTTCTCCAGGAGTCATTCTGATACTCTCACAGTGCTATGCATTAGGCACTAACATTAAAACAGGTTTAGGGTCCTGTTTAGAAACTATGAACACTGATAGAGATTTAGCCAGACACTGATTCTTGAATCCTGATCTTTTATGTTTAACACTGTTCCATCTGAAAGCTATTGCTTTAATGGTCCTTGTGAAATAACTTCCCCTGAAAATAGCCTGTGTGCCTGCTGCCTCCACCCTTGCCTGAGAGCTTTATCCTCTATTAACATCGGTGATTAGTGTCTCATTCCAGTGGGATTGCTCAGGAGGATCCACAGAAAATCAGAATCTCACAGAGATCAGGAAAGGAACCAAATTATCCGGTCCTTTCCCTTCCACAGGGGACTCTGTCCCAGAGACTCCTTGTGCAGGGGATTCTGCGAGATCCCTTCGTCTGACCGTTTTGGCCAGAAGCAGAGTAGGATCAACCCCCTTTATACCGGAATGTGAGGGCAGCTGTGGGCTCCATAACAGAAATTTGCAAGTTACCTTTAGCTTCTGGAGCGCACTCGAGTCCTCCCTTGCTGCAGGGAATCGATACTTTAAGAATATGATTAAGGGATCTTATGTAATGTATCATTTTATTTGAGAAATCTCCCCTCCGGGGATGCAGTGTTTAACATTTCCTTTGGTTAGTGTAAACAATAAAAGATAAGTCTGTTCTGCCTCGGACTCCCGGTAAGAAAGAGGAACAGATTTTGGTTTACTGAGGGGTCTGCAGTACTTTGTTCTCATGACTACTATATAATGGGATTGAACATATTTTATGCCATCTGGCCTGTTCAGCCGAAACAAAATACATCAGTAATGTTCCGATTGGTTTTGAAACATCTTGTTCTTGTCAAAAAGTATTTTAAATCAAAACAGGCTTTTCCAGTTTCTGTTTGTCTTTTACTAGGAGGCCATGGCGAAAATGGGGAAAATTGGGAGAGTCGTGCAGCCTAACCATGAGCATAAAAGGTAATCCTGACTTTTGTGTGTTCATCCGTGAGAATTCACTGAAGATGAAAATTGAGGTCCGTCTCTTTATAGCTCTGCGTGAATGCAGTAGTATTTCTCACCCAGATTGTTTAAGCATTAGGTGGGCATCCAACTCTTTAACCTGGCTGAAGGCAGCCATTTGCTGCCAGTGGGGTGTGAG